AGCCTTGGCAATTTAGTGACAATTGATTCTAAATACATACATACATAAATAGGGCTGGGGAGGTAATTCAGTTGTAGAGCACTGTGGGTTCAATCCCTAGTACCTGTGCTTAACCAGAATCAAATCTTTTCCTTAACCTGAAATCTTGTGTATTCTTCTAGAAGTCATATAATTATAGGTTTTTCATTTAGGCCTATGAACCATTTGGGGTTAACTTTGCATAGTTTGGGAGGCCTGTATTTGTCATGTGAATTTTGCAAAGACTGTCTTTCTCCATTTAATTGCTTTTATATATTTGCTGAAAATAACTATGTGATGTCATTTTTAGCAAATACATAAAAGCAATTAAAAAAAACTATATTTTTGCAATATTCTGCAACCCCCATTTTGTGGCTTATCCTTTCACTTTTTGATGGTGCTCTTTGAAGCACAAAAGTTTTTAATTTTGATGAAATCTATTTTATTTATATTTTTTCCTTGGGTCATTGCCTAATCCATGCTCATAAAGATTTATTCCTATGTTTTCTTCTGAGAGCTTTATAGCTCTAGTTTTCATATTTAGATCTCTGAACCACTTTGAATTAACTTTTTTTTGTATATGATGTGAGGTAGGGATTCAATTTCATACTTTTGCATATAGATATCCAGTTATCCCAGCATCATTTGTTGGAAAGAAATGATTTGTACTCCATACACTGGTCTCCTTCAGTCTTATGTATGTCCTTGTCTTAGATAGTTTGGGTCACTACAGCAGAATACCATTCTTTCTCCCTTCAATTATCTTGTACCTTTGTCAAAAATCAACTCCATAAGTATAAGCTTTTATCTCTGCAGTCTAAATCCTGTTCCAATGACCTATATTTCTATACTTATGCCAGTACTATACTGTCTTAATTACTGTAGCTTTATAGTAAGTCTTGAAATTGAATAGTATGAATCTTACAACTTAGTCCATCTTTTTCAAATTATCTTGGCTTTTTTCATTGATTAGATGGTGATTGTGTTGCCTCTATAGATCACTGATATCTGAACAATATTATGTTTTCCAATATATTGTACATCTCTCCATTTTTATTTAGGTATTTTAAAATTTCTTTTATCAGTGTTCTATTGCTTTCAGTAAACTGGTCTTGCACATATTATGTTAGATTATACTATTCGTGGTTTTTAGGTGCTATTTAAATGTTACTTTTAAAAATTTCACTTTCAATTGTTCATTACTCATATATACAGTTGCTTTTTGTATATTGATCTTATATACTATTTTAGTCAGCTTTTGTGTTGCTGTGACTAATATACTTGACAAGTGCAACAAAGGGAAGGAAAAGTTTATATTGGCTCACAGTTTCAGAGGTTCAGTCCATGGTCAAATGACTCAATAGCTCTGGGCCTGAGTTTTGGTAGAGCATAATGGCGGAAAGGCATGGTGGAGGAAAACAGTTCAGGACTTGGCAACAAGGAAGCTGAGAGACCTCTGTTCACCAGGGACAACATATAAACTCCAAAGCCATAACCTCAGTGACCTGATGCCTCCAGCCACACCCTACCTTCCTCAGTTACCACCCAGTTAATCCGTATCAGTGGATTAATCCACTGATTAGGTTAAGGCTTTCATAATCATTTCATCTTTGGACATTCTTGCATTGTTTCTCATACATGAGCATTGTATATAAATGACATATACTATGAATTTTCCAAACTCACATATTAATTCTGATAGGTGTTCTGTAGATTCTTTGGTTTTTCTGCATAGACAATCATGACGTCTACAAATAGATAACAGCTTTCTTTCTTTCTTTCTTTCTTTCTTTCTTTCTTTCTTTCTTTCTTTCCAATCTCTGTGTCTTTTCTTTCTTTCTCCTATCTTATTGCATAGTTCAGGACCTCCACTATGAATATTGAATAGGAGTAGTGCAAGGGAACAACCTTGCATTGTTTCCAGTCATAAAGGAAAACAATTCTGTCTTTCCTCGTTAAACATGATCTTAGCTGTAGGTTTTTGTCTATGTTGTTGATTAAGGGATTTTTCTTTTATTCCTAATTTGGTTCAATTTTTAAAATTTTGAATACATATTGCATTTTGTCAAATGCTTTTTTAGTAACCATTGAAATACCATTTATTTTTTTTCTAACAGTTTATTAATATAGAGAAATGTATTGATTGCATTTTGAAGTTGAACCAGCCTTCATTCCTGGAATAAACCCCACTGGTCAGATTATGGTTCTCGTGATGCAGTGTCCTATTTGAGGCTAGCTCCTCATTTTCTGCTTCCCATTTTCTCCTCAGTCATGTTTTTATCATCTGGCACCTCTCTCTCCCCTTTCACACAGATTTCCCTAACTAGAACATCCTTCAGCCTTCACCTCATCTATTTCTCTCTCCTTACTCCTTGCTTATTAGTCCCCCAGTGACTTCACAGAGGCCTGTTCTCAGGGTCTCACTTCATATTTTCTGCACTGGTTAACACTGCAAGCCACAGTCTCTTTCTTCCTAGACTTTCCCCTCCCTGGTCTCAGGGGTTCTTCCTTCTGAGTCTGCCCTGCCCTGCCTGGCCTCCAATCTCAGGCAGGTCTTTGCTTCCTCATGCTTCTGGCTTTTGTGATACCTCCCACTTCCTTTGCTTTTTCCCCTCAATGAATCTTCCCTGAAGCCTTATCCTCATTCTGCCACCCTCAGTTCAACAGTCTTTCATGACTCCCAGGGCTTAGAATTGTGCCAGGTTCTCCCAGATCGATCCACATCTTCTCTCCTTGGACTTCTGGAGAATCAGAGCACCTGGATTATTATTCAAGGGCACAGAGTAACCTGGGGACATGCGCTTCCCATGCCTGCCAGTCTCCCTACACATCCCCCTTACAGAGAGTCCAGCACCCCTGGGCCTGCCCAGGAGTCTCCTCATCACCCCTCCACTTTCCTCCCCCAGGTCAGCACCCCTTTTTTGTATGGCATGTTGATTGGTACTCCATACATTGGTCTCCTTCAGTCTTATCATGAATGTCCTTGTCTTAGATAGTTTGGGTCACTATAGCAGAATACCATAGGCTAGGTGGCTTTTAAACAATAGAAATTTATTTCTCACAGTTCTGGGGGCTGGGTGCCAGCATGGCTGGGTTATAGGGAGGACCCTCTTCCAGGTTGCTGTCTTTATATATCCTAACATGGTGGAGAGCAGAAAGCAAGCTCTAGAGTCCCTTTTTGTAAGGGCACTAATCCCTTTCTCTTGAGGGCTCCTCCCTGGTAGACTAATCGCCTCCCACAGGCCCCACCTCCATTAGGCATTTGTATTTATGAACTCGGAGGAAACGTCAGCATCCTATAACATTCAAGTGGAAGGAAAGTTCCTGTAGAGCAGGGGTCTTCTTCCCTTGTCTATCAGGTGTTCCTATGCCATGTGTGAAAATGATGGTGGTCAGAGATTGTGGGAGTTTCCAGGCAGCAACAGTAGCCTGCAGAGTTGTCAAGCTGGTCACCTGAGCTGGCCCCCTCCCTGCAGGCACATCCAGGAGGTATGTGGGGTCCATCGCATCCTTTAGTTGGAATAGGGCCAGACTTTGAAATAGGAGAGAAAAAGTCTCTTTCTCTTCATGGACCAGGGCAGACACACTCTAGGATGTCTTTAGGGAAAGATGGTACCACAGCCAGCATGGAGCTCATGTGGCCTCCTGGCCTAGGCTGGCAGAGGACCTGATGAGAGTCAGGACCACCTCAGAGCTGTGCTAAGGAAAGCCCTCAGGTAGTGGACGTGAGGTAAAGAAAGAACTTGGAGATTCCAGAGACAAAGTGGTCCCTAGCAAAGAGTGTGGGAGTCATCTGTTAGTCATTGCCAGATGGCTAAAATCCCAAAGAAAGGTCCTTTAGGATCCAAATGGACAAGTATCTTCCTCACTCCAAAACTGGGGGTCAACAAAGGTTTTCCAGAGGGTGGAGGGGCCACAGTGGAAGGTGTGGAAATTGATCTAGGCTTAGTCCTCTGAGGTTGGGACTAAGAACCCAGTTCTGAAGAGGGGTCTGAGGTGCAGCTCAAAGCCCCCACAGCCTGGAAGCCTGCGCATCTTCTCAGGCTTGTCTCATGTGGGCCCGAGACCAGAGCGGGACCAGGATCAGCATGCTCAGATACCCAGGAGCTTTACCTGCCTGAGACATCTTGACTAAACATTGGCTCACTGGGCTCTGAAATGTGCAACACAAACTTGCCTTTGTGGGTTCTATTGTATTGTCTTGCTTTCTCTTAGCTTTTTAGTAAATATTCCTTTCAAAAGAATCCCCGCCTCGGCTCTGCAGACCAGAAGGGGTGGTGGTGTTTTTCCACAAACACATCTCAGTCAGCACAGAGAAGGGGATCCCTGAGGAGCAGGGGAGATGGCAGATGCCTGCCAGCTGGTATGAGGGGCTGTCGGGGAGCCTTGGTGCTGGTGCAGAGATAGAGCGGAGGCCTGGAGGTGGGGGGAGCTGAGCCCTGCTCAGGACCCCAAGCCCCACTGGCAGGCACCTTGCCCATCCCCATTCCCCAGAGGGTTTAGCACATTTCTGGGGGCCTTCCTTATGTGTGGCCAGCGAGTCCTGGATTCATGGGAGCTGATCTCTGGGATAACAAGCCAGGACTTCCCTGGAGGGGCAGTGGTTTGTGCTGTTGTGGATTTCATTACCCTTTCTAACCCTCGGGGAACCTTCCTGTGGTCCCGCTGCTGCCTCCAGCAGACTTTAAAATTTTCAGTACTGTGGACACATTCAGTCTGATTATCCAATGATTCCCTGTCCTTAGGGGACACACTCCACCACAGGCCAGCCCAGCTTGGGCCCCTCAGGACATCTGAAAGCCCAAGTGATCATGTTTGGCTGCTTAGGTGTTCGGCTGTGTGCCAGGCGTCCTTGGCATGTGTTTGCTGAGACGTGGGCAGAGGGGCTGCAGACTTCAGAGCGGGGTGGGGGGGATCAGGGTTGGGGCTCAGGGAGCAGTGCTCCAGGCCTGAGCTTGGTGTGCTTGTCTCTCCCTCTGCAGCTCGTCTCCAATGTCCTCATTTTCTCCTGCACCAACATCGTGGGCGTCTGCACTCACTACCCGGCCGAGGTCTCCCAGAGACAGGCCTTCCAGGAGACCCGGGAGTGCATCCAGGCACGGCTCCACTCACAGCGGGAGAACCAGCAGCAGGTGAGTGAGGTTCTTCTGCCCTGCACAACCTAGGGCCAAGGAGAGGGCTGAGGCCAGCCTCCGATGAACTGCTGAGCTAGGGCCCCGCCTACTTCCCCCTGACAGGGGCCCTGCCCACGGGGCAGTGTGTCCCCTGAGGGAGCCCAGCCTTCCTGTTCCTGGCTCTGTGGGAATGCTCTTGGCCTCCCTGCCCTTGCCCAGAGCCTCCTCACCCAGCTCTGTGGTTTGCCCACAAGCCAAAGAGCAAGATAGCTCCTGCCTCCTTCCCTCCTGGGCCTCCCATGAGCTGGAGAGGAGAAGCAGTCAGCATCTCCAGCTCAGATTAAGGTGTTCGCCCAAGGGAGGGAAGAGGGAAAAGGGGAGGGGACAGGTACTGGCAGTGCCCATGGTACCCCAACTCATCTCTTTTTCTCCAGCCAGTTCTGGGTGTGGTTGGTTCAGAAAAGGAAGACCATCCTGGGCCAGGGAGGCAGGCCATTCAGAGGGCCTCAGTCACAGGCCAGGCTTCCTCTAGCAAGTTTTGGAAAAGGCACTGAGGTCGGCCTCAGGGTTCTAGCTGTTCCCGTTCTGAGGGGTGGTCATGTCACCACTGTGTCCTCTCCTGCATGTGGATCAGATGGAGATCTGGTAACCCTAGATAGTGTGGAGCTGAGACACTCCCCAACAGGAGGCCTGGGAGGGTGTAGCAACCCCAGGAGTCAGAGTGGGCCTCCAGCAGGGCCATGGGTCTCCCATCACTCTTGAACTAAAGCGTAAGTTTATGAGACAAGGTTACTGCAGACCAGAGGATCCTGCCTCCCCAAGCCCTCAGCCAACACCAGTGGGGCCCTTCTGTGTGCCACATGCTATGCCAGGCCCCGTGGCTGATGTGAACTTGGAAGGACGCGGAGAACATGGCCAAGAGGGCAGTGGTGTGCATGCTGTGGCCACTCCAAGTGAAGAGTGGTTTCATTGCAGCACAGGTGTCTCAGTCCATCTGGATGCATGCTGGGTGGTCCAGTGACACTCAGCCAGCCAGGTGAGGGGGCAAAGCTCCACAGTGTCTGCAAGTCATCCTCAGTCCCCAGTCCTTCCACACTGCCTCTGTGGCCACCGTGTCTGAGGCCTGACTCTCCACTCACTCTTTGGCCCTGTCTGGGCTCTTGCTCTGGCCTCTTGAGGACCCTTGCTCAGCAGTGTCCTTGGAGTCCTTCCACTGACCTTTGTTGACAAGCTTACTTTGCCTTTGTCACACTGTACCCTGCTCACCTCCTAAGCCCTGACACTCATCCAAAGCCCCCATGGCATCCTTGTAACAGTCCCCAACACCTCTGCCCTGAGGGCTGGACATGCTCCTTCTCCTTCCATTTCGGGGAGTGGCTCTTCACATCAGGGGTTCTGTCCCTTCTCCAGGATGATTACTGCTTTACAACTCATCATAATTCCCCTGCTCTGGCCGTGGCCAGGAATTTAGGGGAGAAAATACTTTTGACATACCATGCTCAGGGTAAGGCATTGGGAGGGCATCTTGCTTCCTGTGACAGGTCCTTCTCCTCCGCCATCCAGAGCAGGCCATGCAGAAAGAGCTCCTGGGTGCCATGTTATGAAGGGACTCAGAATTGTTCCCCCACTGCCCCTGTCCACACCCCCCAGCCCTCGCCTCTCAAAGTAGTTATAGATGTAGGAAAGTCTCTCATGAATCTCAACAGTTTATAGCACTCTTGACCCAGTCATCCAATATCACAGAATAGTCCTAAAGGACAATTTATTTCAGCAATAATTATGTACAGAGAGTTGAGTAAATGTGAGATGGCCTTCAGTGGCCATGCTTCCTGATGCCTGGAGATGCCAGACAGATGTGTGGAGAGCCACATCCTTCACTCATTTACCAGTTTTCCAGCTCCTGTCCCCAAGGAGGCCTCTCCTTGTACTCAACAAAAGGAGGTGCAGCTGACAGCCATTGATGCTCAGGGTAATCAGAGGCTGTATAGAGGGCAGCCAAGGACAGGGTGGAACTCTGGCAGCTGGAGCTGGACCTCCTCCAGGGGAGGAGGGAAACCCGAAGGAGAGTTAGGAGCAGCACGTGAGGGTGTTGATTCCAGGTGAGGGACTCATGCACAAAGACTAGCAAAGCTCTGGGAGCCTGCGGACCTTCCCATGTTTCTGCCTGTCTGGAGCAGGGTACAGACTTCAGTTCATGGGTTCTGGGAGGGGAGGTGGAGGGTTGGGGACAAGCCAGATGGTAGAAACTTCCAGGTCCGGCTGGGGGCATAGGCTGATCCCGGAAGCTTCAGGAAGCAGAGAAGGCGATGTGGTCTGGCGAATGTTGTACACAGGCACTTGCTTGCTACCTGGGAGTGCAGGTCAGAGGCAGCAAGCCTGGAGGCCAGACCTGACTCAGAGGCTACTGGACCTGAAGGTGACCTGGCCTGCGAGAGGCTGAGGTAGGGACACTAGCAAGGGTGCTTCATCAAGGAGAACTGCAACCAGTCCTGGGAGAACACAGGGAGAGGATGAGGCACAGGAGAGGGAGGTGGATCAGAGTGAGGGGTTGCAGTGCAGAACCAGGATGAATAGGTTCAGCGGGTCCAGAAGAGTCCATCCATGATGTGGTGGTGATCAGGAGAGTGCTGTGGTAAAGGAAGTGTTTTGGAGAGATTGGGGCTGTATAAGCTCAGGGAGGGCTTGGGAGAGGCTGTGTGGTCAGAGCCATGCCACCGGAATCCCAGAGACAGGTGAAAACTGGACATGGGCAATGGAGAAGGACACAGAAGTGAAAGGGCAAATACAAGAGCTGTTTCCAGGTCAGCAGGACTTGGTGAGCGCTGGACACTGGGACCCAGGGAAAGGAATGAGTCTGAGTCAAGTTATGAAAAGTGAAAACAGCTTACATGGGCAGGGTATTGACCTTGGTGCAGGAGTCTGGGGGTGTCTTGGGCAAAGGTAGGGGACTTGGAAAGAAGAGTTACAGGAAAATGAAAAGGTGGGAAGGCGCATCTGGTTAGGGAGATGGTGGCAAGTCATCCAGGTGGATGCTGGAGACCAGGGAACCCTGGAAGGGAGCTGGGATGTGGACAGTGGAGGCCTGGCACCAGAGGAGGGAGAGGAACCCGGAAGGACAGAGCAGCAGGAGAGACTCAGTGCATAGTAAAGGACAGGAGAATGAGAGGCTGGGGGGCACCATGATGAAGGCGGAGGAGGAGAGAATTGGATGAATGAGACTGTCAGAGGGCCTGGAATGGAGGGAGGGCTGAGGAGGGCCATTGCAGAGACCAGACTCCATGATGGCAGCAGGGCAGCCCTGGGGGAGAACTTGGGAAGGCAGCAAAATCCAGACCCTATAACCAGCTGATAAGAGCTGCCCCAGGGAGTGCGGGTCAGAGGCAGCAAGCCTGGAGGCCAGACCTGACTCAGAGGCTACTGGACCTGAAGGTGACCTGGCCTCCTCCCTCTGCTTCTCTCCCACCTCCCATTTGACTGATTTTGTCTCTTGGTTCAAGTCGACTTGCTTTCCCCTATCTCCTGCCTGGGCCACTGTCCCTGCATATGTATTTGGAGCACTCACTCATTGTTTGGCCTCCAGGAAGGCTTCTCTGGTCATACCGGTTCTCCTCAGCCTAGGCCAGGCATCCCTGCCCAGTGCCCCCATAGTACCCCAGAGACTGGAGGCTTGGAGAAGGAGGAGCCTGCCCTGGCTATAGGCACATGGTTATGACTCCTGGCATCCAGAATGATGCTCCGCACATGACAGCTGGATGAGTCTTATGTAATGCTGTCAGTAATCCCTCCCCTTTTACAGATGAGGAACCTCTTTTCACTGGGGAAGTTCAGTAGTTTGCCCAAAGATACAGTTTCTGGTCACATCCATGTTCTAAGCCAAGGGCTCAGTCCTTGTAGGTCCACCAGGAGTGCCTTTCCCAGTGCAGCATGGTGGCAGGCCAGGGGTCAGACTAGGAAGTACCCCAGGGAGATGGGACCAGAGGACCCTGGGGGCATGAGTCCAGCTGTTGCCCTCCCCATGCACATAGATGCTGCTAGCCCCCTGAACCTCAGGAGAGCCTGAGGGGTCTTCCAGGGGCCTGCAGGCAGGGGCACAGGTGTGGATCGAGGGGACTCACCAGGCAGGTGGAGGAGTGGTGACAAACTCATCTGCTCTCCTCCCCAGGAACGGCTCCTGCTATCTGTCCTTCCCCGTCACGTTGCCATGGAGATGAAAGCAGACATCAATGCCAAGCAGGAGGACATGATGTTCCACAAGATTTACATTCAAAAACATGACAACGTGAGGTACGGGTGAGGCTGGGGTGGGGCTTGGGACAGGGTAAGAGAATTGGACCCCAAAGGAGCCGTCCCCACTTCTTTCCTTGATGGGGGCGCAGCCCAACAGGGTGGCCTACTAGCTTGGGAGTGTGTGTTGTCTGAAGCAGGGTAGGCCCATGCTCCAGTCTGGTGGGTACATTATCATTGTACCCTGTTCAACTTTCTTTGGGGGCCGGGGGTGGGGTGGGTAACAAGTCTACAGAAGAGGAAAGAGAAAAAAGAGGAAAAAGAAATGAGCAACACTAGCTATTAGGGGAACTTCTAGCCTAACAAAGGAGACAGCAGCATAGGCTTGGGACCCCAGTGTCCCCCTCATCTCTGTCTTCATCACCCCAGCTGCTTGCTTCCTTTCTGGGCCCCTACGTCCCAGACACTAGCCAGGCCTCGCCACCTTACTGCGGATCCTCCCAGCGTTCTGCAAGGTGGGCACAAGCAGCCTCCCCAGTCTATAGATGAGGCTCAGCAGGGCTGAGGCCCTTGCCCAGAGTCCTCCAGCTCAAGGGTCAAGACAGGGTGCACCCGAGTCCGCCTGCCCCAAAGCCCGCATTCCTCTTGCAGTGTATCTGCTCCCTCCCCAGACAGAAGCTGCTGACAGCAGGGTCATGCAAGCAGATGTAGATTAATAGACTGCAAAATCTGCTTATGAGTTCCACAGGGATACGAAGCGATACAGTGGCCCTCATCCAGCATGGCTCCTGGAGAGCCTGGTAATCCTCCCATATGCTAGAAAAGGAGCCGCTGTGTGTGCTTGGAGTTACATTCTCCCTGGAAAAGTTTTCCTAATACCTGAGTCCTCTGAGATTACTGTAAAGAGAACCCTTTGGGAGCTTGGGCTGCATTTTCAATACAGGGAGGGAATGGATCATGCAAATTGTTACACATGTGCACGAACACATGCATGTGCACACACATACATACACACACGCACTCTGAAAGTGGGGTGGGTAGCAGTGGGGCCAGGGAAGGCTGTGGGGTTTCTGTCTTGTTTTGTTTTTGCAGTTCTGGGTATTGAACTGAGGGCCCACACATGCTAGGTAAGTCTTCTACCACCAAGCTACACCCCAGCCCGGAGACCTGTTTTTTTCATGCAGAACAAGCAGAATTGCCCAGGGACCATGAGACTATTGATTCTACATTGTCTTCTCCACCTGTTCTCTCAAAACTGAGGCTGAGGACTGGGGATGTGGCTCAAGTGGTAGCGCACTCACCTGGCATGCGTGTGGTCTGGGTTCGATCCTCAGCACCACATACAAACAAAGATGTTGTGTCTGCCCAAAACTTAAAAATAAATATTAAAAAATTCCCTCTCTCTCTCTCTCTCTCTCTCTCTCTCTTAAAAAAAACTGAGGCTGAGGCTTCTGAAGGAAAACGTAACCTCACACACAGTCAAGCTCTGCTTTGAGGAGCTCCCAACCCCTCACCCTAAAGTCTACTATGCTCCTCTGTCAGGCAGGGCCAGCACAGTCAGTAGTGGCTTCAGTCTACCAGGAAGAGGGCCACCCCAGCCGAATTGCTATGACCAACAGGCATCCTAAGGGGGCTGAACCTTGGAGTTGGGGGTGGCTTGACTCATGGGCGTGAGCCTGATGGGTAGCATGCTGTGCTAGACCCACCGTTGCTGCCTCTCATGCCACCCCGTACTCCGGGGTGAATGATTGCTCATGATCCTCGTGGGTACTTGTGGAGAGCATGCTTTCCTGGCTGCTGGCCAGAGTGTTTTCATATATTTACTTAATCCCTGCACAAAGTGTCAGGGGTTAGCACTCTTCATCATTGCTAATTTACAGATGAGGAAACTGAGGCACAGAGGTTTAAAACCTGTCCAAGATTACATAGGTGATTAACTGGGAGAATTGCCCCTAGAAACCTTTCTGATTTCAGAGTTTTTATCCAGCCTGACGCCTGGACACGTTTATATATCCAGAAGAGGGAGTTTGGGCAAGGACTCTGTGGGAAGGTGGCTTCAGGCCTGGCTCAGAGGCTCAGAGGAGAGGGAGGAGAGGGGTTTGGCTTCCTGTGTGTGTGTGTGTGTGTGTGTGTGTGTGTGTGTGCATGCACATACACACATGCCTGTGTGGTTGAGCATAGTGCTATCCCCGTGGGACATATAAAGAAACAGCCTTCCCTATTGAGACAAATCCCAGAAACTCAAGTTTCAGGTGAGAAGGGGCAACCCCAAAAGCATCCCTGACACCAGCTGAACCCACTTCCAGCTACTGGAATTTTCTCACTGGACATGGTAGTGTCTGGGTAGAGTGTGGACAAAAGGAGTTTTTCCTCGATCGCTCATAGCTCAGCAGACCTTGCCACAACTTCCACTCAAATATGCACAAAGGAAATCCAGAACACTTGCTGCTCAGAAATAGCCTGGTACTTAAGGCGCAGGTCCTCAGCCTGGCTTGGCCACCACCTCTGGCACATCTGGCTGCCTCTGAGTCTCTGCCCAGCCCCTTCCCTCTCCTCCAGGCCCCTCTCCCACAGGGTGGGTGTCCCCTACTTCCTGACGTCCCCTAGTTTTTGACTCTCAGGTCCCCAGCCCTCCAGCAAATGGGTTTGGTCAGAGGGGCTGAGGCCTCTTTTATGAGGATGACCTCAAGGAATGGCTCACCCTCTGTGTGACCCCTTCTCCCTCCCCTCCCATAGAGGCCGTGACTTTAGTCAATAAAAGGACAAGGCCCTAATCACAGAGTGGCCTGAGCATTTGCACAAGAATCAGGCCCACACTCCAGTGGGGGTATTTCTGTCTAGGACATGCCAGGATCAATGACAGCAATCAGAAAAGATGAAAGGAGAGAGAAACCAAGATGCCATAATTTTCCTGGGGATGGAACTCAAAGCATGAGGGAGAGAGGTGGCTGGTACACATCAGAGGCCAGCCACCTGCAATCATATGCAAATATCCTGCTGGGGCTGTTTTCCCTGGGTGGTTAGCAGCACTGGGCAGCCCTGGTGGAACCACAGTGCTTGCTCTGGTCTGTTTGGGGGTTGGACTTTGGCTTGGGTTGGGGGTTGAATAGTAATGGGGGGTATAATAGTTTTAAAAATCATTTTGGGGGCTAGAGGTGTCACAATGGTGTAGTGCTTGTCTAGCAGGTGTAAGGATCTGAGTTCCAGCCCCAGCCCTTCGAAAAACAAAACTAAAACTAAAACAAACTAACAAAACACACACACACACACACACACACACACACACACACACTTTGGGGTCAGTAGAGAACCAAGGTTGTTGGGCCTTGGCTCTGGTGTTAAGCAGCTCTGCGTGTTATCCCAGCTCTGCCCTGTCCTGGCTTTGTGACCAGGGAAAGTTACTGTCATTGAGTGGCTCCAAACCTCAGTTTCCTCATCTGTAATATAGGGCACCAAGAGTGCCTACTTAATAGGGCTGTAAAGAGTGCATGAAAGAACACAGGAAGTGCTGAGCACAGTTTCTGGTAAATAGTGTTCAATAATTGATTATTGTTACTGGCATCTCTATGATTCCTATCGCACTTCTATCAGCAAAGAAAGGCAAGGCCTGGGATCCTTTAGCTGAGAATGGAGGGTGACAAGTCACATTCATCCATTCTCCATGGAGTTGTGGTATTTAGAGAAGGTGATGACATGCTGTTCTCCAGCCCCACCAAGAGTAAGGCCACCAGAGTAAACCAACTTCACAGTGTGACAGACGGGCCTGGAGAAGGACTGATGGGGTCTTGGGGAGCAGGATTTGTCCTGGTAGGGAAGGGAGATAGAGAGGGGCTGGCACCCCTCAATGTCCTCTGACCCAGAGGAGAAGAGTTCACACGATGCAGTTCCTGGGGTACCAGCAGGGGCTGGCTAAGGAGCCTGTAGAACATTCTGGTGCTGGGCCAGCGCTGGCTATGGGTTGAAGCAGGCCAGAGGCCAAGAAACCCCTGGAGACCCCACTCTTAAGACCCTGGATGCCTCTCCTGGCTGTGGTGACAGATGGACTGTGTCACCACTCTAGCTGAGCAGCCCACTGGGGCTGGGGTCCCTGGGCCTGTGGTTTACCAGCTTTTCCTTCCCTGCCCCACCCACCTGTGCCCCATGCAGATGGCAGTGCCCAGTTAGGGCAGGGGCTATGTCATCTCCACTTCTGAGAGGGGTGAGGGCTGCTGGGCCATGCTGGCAGAGCCTGCTCTGGGGTCAGGGGGGGCGTCAGGAGCTCTGCCTGGGAGGAAGGAGATCAAAGGGGCTACAAGCAGATCAGCCACACCACATGGTCACAGTAAAAGGTAGACCTAGACCAGACGCAGGTGCTGCCAGGTCACCTTCACCGAGTGGCCACACTGTAGAGTAGAGCAAGACAAGTGTCCGTCTTGAGCAGACTGGTGCACAACCCCACTCTGCTGCTGGGGACTTGTGGGAACTTGGGCATGTCACCTGGTCTGAGCCTCACTTTCTTATCTGTAACCTGGAATAGACCTGTCCATTCACTCATCCATTCAACTCATTTTTTACCTCTGTCCCAGTCAGTGGAGACAACCATGCTCTAGGACACACTGGAGGTATGTGCTCCGTGACACGACTTGAATTTAAGGTGCACGCCATCACTGACATGGCGAAGCTCCCCTCTGTTAGAGAAGACACATACTAAACAAGTAATTGGTCAGTTGCCACCATGTGCTTACCTCAGGTGAGGCATCCTGCAAAGAGTGGGTAGCTACCCAGGAGAGGTGGAATTCACAGCATTTAGATGTTAAACAACTTAGGTCTCACTCATGGTTACAATAGGAACCCTGCTGAAGGGCAGGGATCACCAGGATTCTCCCTTCCTGCCACAGGTCCTTCTGAATGAGGATCACTCTGCACCTGACTCTGCACACTGGAGCCCTTTAGTTTATAAGGTAGCAGATCTAGTGGGGTGGGCAATGGAACATTCCAGATTCTTTATGGGAAGGGAGAGAAGCCTGTCTCTTCTAGGGAGCACTGGTCCCCTGCCAAAGAAATAGTTCTCCCAGGGCTCC